GAGATAGTAAGAAAAACGTTTTAAAAATGTTTAAAAGGCATATTTGAAACATATTGTTAAGACGTTTCAAAGAAGAGTTTAAATTTTGTGTTGTCTGAGAAGTCTGATTATAAATAATATAAATATACAATACAATTTTATTTCTAAATTATAGTGCTAGAACGAATGACGCATTTATCGCTATCGAAATTTATTCTTATCTAAATTTATTATCTCTGTGCTTGAATACTTGTGATAAAATGTGATTGAAATAAATAAAATCAAAAATCTTTTCACTCGATCAATCGATCACATTTTATATTGATCAGGCGAATGCAATCTTTTTATGCGAAAATCGTTGAGAGAAGTTTCACGTGTGTGCACATAATTTCTTTCTAGATATGTATCTCTCAATGAGAATTTTGTGTTACTTATATAAATGAAAATATAAATCGGTGTACATATATATGTTAGTATACAAATTTCTACACTCTCGATTGCAATTAATTATTCACTTAGATAATCCATGACGCTAAAATTTCCATCAAAAACTATAAAATGTGCATTATTTGGCAAAATAAATTTTGCTGATATTGATATATATTTTTTTATCGCAAATATATTGCTCATAGTACTCATAAAAGTACTCATAAAAAATCAAGAGCTTTTATTAATATGACATAGTATATATTTCCACATAATACAAAATCCAAAATCTGAACATAAAATATCTTTTAGACATTTTTAAAATATCTCGATTTTGTATTCTGAGTTATGTAGGATATATTTCGTTGAAGATATCCTAATTGCTTTTTTATTTCATTCTGTCTCTCTCTCTCTCTCTCTCTCTCTCTCTCTCTCTCTCTCTCTCTCTCTCTCTCTCTCTCTCTCTTATCTGTAGGACTATTTTAGGATTGTTTTCATAATTTGTCATGTATTAAAATAAAATATCCTTAAAATATTCAATTTTATTTTGAGAAGAATAATATTTATTATTCGGAAAAAGCACATACGTATAGCATATATATTTTTGACTATAAAACATTTCTATAGTCAAAGATGTATATACGTATGTATGTACGTAATGCTTCCTCCACGTGTATAGGTAAATGACTGAAATGGCCGCGAGGTGGAAACGTTGTCCCGCGAATCGAAATAAACAATACTTGCTGTACGATGGTAGGAATAAACATAAATAGATTTTTACACTTGTGCAGGCTGATCGTCCGCAATCTCACATACACAATAATTCGTTTGATACAGTCGTATATCAAAACACTAGTGAATGACTGGCACAAGAAGCATAAATCTGTTAAAATCGTGCATCGCAGCGAGAACTTTTTGATAGTCAATAAACCCTACGATATGTACATAAATAGCGATAATCCCGACAGGAAGGTGAGGACACCTTCGTTCGATATATGATTAACATGTTTGTAAATTAGGCATTTATATTTACAGAATACTCTTCAAACAGAACTGCGAGAAATGCTACCTGACTTGGTTAATCCGAGATTGTGCCATGAATTTCACTTTGTGCACCGACTGGATTATCCTACGAGCGGCGTCATGTGCATAGCATTAAATAAAAGGGCGGCCAGAGCAGCGTCATCCGCTTTTGAAAATCATAAAGTACAAAAATTCTATTTAGCATTGGTACACGGTCACATACATGAATCTCACATTGTAATCGACAAACCTATTGGTTAGAATCCACAACACGTACATAACGCTCTGGTAAATCTAACAAAGCTTTAGCGTAATTTTTCTTCTTGGTCTAGGTGCCGATGTTCGAGAAAAAACTGGCAATCATAAGATGTGTACGAGCGACAGTATCTTTTGTGATAAGCCTCGTAAGTCCTATACGATGCTAATAGTATTGGAACATGGATTTTGGAGAGGCAAACCTGCTACTAAAATCTTGTTAGCACCTGACACAGGTAGACGACACCAATTGAGAGTACATTGCCATCATATCGGTCATACCGTCATAGGGGACTATACATACAGCGAAGGCAAAGATATAGAACCTTGCAGAACCTATCTTCATGCCCTTAGGTACAGTTACACTGAGTATCACAGTTTTGATACATATAATTACTTTATTAATACTTTATTTACTTTCAAGGTTAATATTAAACTGTGATATCGAAAATATAGATGTAAAAACAGCTGATCCATTTGATGCTTCCATATTATCTGACTATAAAGTGACGAATGTAATAAAAATCTTGGACGAAAATATATTCCGGGATATATATAAATTAATGGAATAAAATTAAGATATTTTTGTTATATATCAACATACAGATTTATTCAATCGCCTTGACTCCAGATTCGTTCACTTCAAATTGGAATGTAAGCCTTGGCAAATGTGAAGCTAGCATTACGCAAGCGTATCGCAAGGAATTTTTTCTGTAAAAGTATATAGAATTGGTTATCATGCTAGACCATGTGAATCCTAAAGCTGGTTGCTCATTCGCATTTTCACTGATAAGAATGTGACCATCTATAACTGCAGAAACCTAAAGAACACAAATCATTAGTATACAATATAACAATGCATTTACATATTTTTTACCTGATTAATGCAGATCACGCATAAGTCGTCATTTTTACAAAGTTCATGTAATTGTCTTCCGATGCTTCTTTTAGTTTTACCTTGATCTTTCCAATCCTCTGATCTATAAGGGGCAGCTATCGAATCGATGATTAACAATCCTATCTTATGAGCATTCATTAGCACTGGAACCTTGCGTTGCAGACACAATACCAATTCTTCCTTCAACATTTATTAGTTGACATAAACTTAGCAATCGAATTTACATGTTAAAGTTTACTTTTTAATTTATTATAGCTAATACAATATTATAATTACAATAGTGGCTATATGTGTCACAAATATCACATCTCCAGTCACGGAATGAGCTTTAGTTATTTCTGACTTCTTCAACAATTGCTGCAATCGTTTTGATGGAAAAGCAGTTTCTGTGCAAATATATATGGCACCTGTTAACATCAATAGTTTCATCATAAATAATGACATAAATATTCACAATAATGACATAAATATTTTAAGAGAATTCCAGATAAGAAAAAAGAAAAGAATACGAACATAGCACAAAAATCTGTTATTTGTAAAATTGATAATTGTATAAAACTTTCTTTTATTATATTTAAAATATTTAAAAAAGTCTCATACATTTGTAAGATCTACATGAACTATTCTGTCATATTTTAGAAATATGAAGTCTTTTGTTTGCTCTTAAATTTTCAGGAGTCAGTATACATTTTCCAAGCTTTTCGAACGTTACCAGCTTCAAGACCACCCATGGTTATCGGCAATTGAACAGTAAGACACATCTGTAGAGCTAATTGTGTCTTCCCTGTGCCAGCAGCACCATAAATCTGCGTGATACCCCTGCAAGGTAAACCGCCCTTAAGTTTTGCATCCAATATTGAACAACCGGTTGTTAAAAATCTCTCCCTAATAGCGGCTGCGTCCATCACTGATCTGTAATAACACGATAAAAATATTAAATTTTTTTTATGCGCAAATACACGTAATCGCGTATGTAAAATGTTACATTTTAGTACAAAATAAAAATTACTTTTTTTTTTCTTTTACCAGCAGATCTATTTCGAAATTGATTCTCAGTACTTTTAATGCATTTGAAATATCATATATATCATATTGTTTATATTCTTGACAATTAACAATTCAGATGGCTAGTTTAAAATTCAACAATTCAATTTCTTGAATTCGCTTTAAATAACTTGTATGCTAGATGATATTCGTCTTTATCCCGCAATTGTGGCGCCCTCTTTTATTCACAACAATGACATATGTAACTAGGCCATCTACATCTGCTTCTTCGGCTATCGCTATCGCAGGAGCAGAAGAGGGCCGGTATAATCCCTCTTAGCTTTCCTTCTGACAATATTTTATGAAGCACGAGCACGTGTTGTAACGAAACATTGCGCAATTTGTAAAATAATATGTAGAACAGGTTACTGTTCGAAAAAATATTCAGTCATGTCAGAAAATTTTGAAGAAGGTCAATTCAGTGATGCTGACGAGGATGAAATGTCTTTGACGTAAGTGTTTTCATATATTTTGCTCGTATTTATACCTGGTACTAGCATCTTTAATTCTCAAAAGATAGCATTGATGGCTGATTTAAGCTACAAGAATTATTTATAAAATTATTGTGTATTGCTTACATCATGTCATTTCCTACAGACAAAGGGAAAACCCTACTTTCAAAGGAAAACCCTTATTTAATATGGAATCCAAAAAGCAGCTAGAGACAGAATTGATCAATCTGCATATTACAGATGATAAAATGATCAATGTTGAAGACAATGACGACAATTACTTATATAACAATGATTATGATTTGGATGAAGAAAAGAATACTATTGTAAAGACAAATTTGCAGAGGCCCAACATTCAAAATGCATCTACCAAGGTGTCAAATTATCAACCTAAACACAAATTGTTATCTCGTTATGCGAATAAGATTAATTTGGAAAAGTATGCGGGACCATCGTTGCCAAGCCACGTAGCTAATGTATTGATTGAAAATGATAAACGTGTTGATAAAGATCGTGTGAGAACAAAAGATAAAAGTGATCATGCAACAAATGAGAATGTATTGGATTCACGTATAAAAAAGAAATTACACAAGTTGTTTGAAAGAGGGATTTTGGCAGAGATAAATGGTTGTATCTCAACTGGGAAGGAAGCCAATGTATATTATGCAAAGTCAAAAAACGAAGATGAAATTGCTATTAAGATATATCGGACATCCATTCTGACGTTTAAAAATCGGGAGAAGTATATCAGGGGTGAATACCGTTTTGATCATGTGCATTCTCTACACAATCCACGCAAAATGGTAAAAATTTGGGCGGAAAAGGAATTTTCTAATTTAAAGCGTTTGGAACAGGGTGGTGTCCATGCACCGCAGCCAATCTTGTATGGTGGGCATATGCTGCTGATGGAGTTCTTAGGTTCAGATGGCTGGGCAGCACCTAAATTGAAGGATGCAGTACTTACAGAATCAAAATCAAGGATGTTATACAGAGAATGTATAGAAATTATGTGGAAGATGTACAACAAGTGCAGACTTGTTCATGCTGATTTAAGTGAATATAATTTGCTGTATCACAACGGATCGATTGTAGTCATTGATGTTTCGCAAGCTGTGGATCGTGATCATTGCAATGCAACAGAATTTCTCAGAAACGATTGTAGCAATATTACAGGTGTGATAGAGAAACATTTCAGTATTTTTACTTCAAATAAATATATAGTTGACTTTATATATAATTTGACTTTTTGTTTTCCTTCAGCGTTTTTTAAAAAGCATGACGTAGGAGTTATGCCTCTTCAAGCATTGTTTGATTTCATAACGGATCCAACTGTAAATGAAAATAATATGGATGAGTATCTGGATATTTGGATTCAGGAGGCAAATCGAGAAAATGATTCACAGCAACAACAAATAGAAGAAGCAGTTTTTAAACATGCTTATATTCCTCAAAGATTGACTCAGGTATCATTTACAAGCATACTATACATAATTTTCTTTATTCGTACAATCAAATAAAAGTTCTGTTAAAACTACTTATTTATTTACTACTTATTTCATATTTTTTTTGTAGGTGATCAATGTGGAACGTGATATAAATCTCGCGAAATCTGGGAAAAATTTGATTTATAAGACACTAATAGGCTTAAAAGCAGACTTGTCCAAACCTGCAGAAACACCGGAGATCCTCGCTAGCAAACATAAAGATAAAGATAAAGATATGAAGAAAGAAAATGATTCCTATACTTCTTCTGAAAATAGTGACAATTCCGACAATGAAAATGAAAGCGAAACAAGCAGTGAAGATAATAAACAAAGCAAATTCGTAAATTCAGCTAGACCTAGAAACGAAAGTCCCGAAAGTAGAAAAGTAAGACATGTATTATCTTTTCCACAATTATGCATCTATTAATTGTACAAATTAATTTTCATGCTTTATTTTAGGCGCGCAAAAAAGCAATCAAAGAACAACAGGCGGAAAAGCGAAAAGTCAAAATAAAAAAGCATATAAAAAAACGTAAAATAAAAATATTGAAAGGAGGAAAATAAACATTTATAAAAAAAAATTATGCAATCTATACATTAATGATTATCGGTTAAGTTCTTAACACATTCAAGGAAAAAAAAGATACAAAAAGAAAAGAGAATTATTTAAATATATTCGAATGAAACAATCTAAGATATACACATTATATATATTTTTGACATTATTCTGGTCTTATTATTTCGTAATATGTTCTGCAGAGTGATATGTACGTACATGTAAATATATATATGTATATGTATTCACAGATTCATCTCGTATCGTCAAAATATTAGACTGCCACACTTTACATAACTATTAAAATTGGGATAATTTATAATATTAATTTAATAATTTATCATTCTAATATGATTCTTAGACAAAGTATCTGTGTACATATCTGATGACATGAAGACATTTGTTTATTATTTAAAACGATTTTTATTATTATCAATCCTGTTTAATTATCCATAAAAGATGACAGTGGACAAAAATGTTTTGTAAAAATGTACCATAACATTATTTTGTAAATATGTTTATGAAGATTATTTTGTAAATATTGTTTATGAAGTTGCATGATAATAAATTAAAAAATGAACATTATCGGAGTATGAAAACGACCACCAACTGGTTTTCTTCGTAGAACGTAGGAAGCGTCCCAATAACACATGTTCACTCGTTCTCGGGAATGTTATGTTTAATTATGTTACGATGGAACACATCCACTCACATCGCTTGGTATTCAGGAATTTTCCACTGAACCACCAATCAGAAAATTTTAAGATTATTGGTCAATTAACAATGTGGATAATTTCGTTCTTCATTTTTAACATTTGGTAATAATAAGAACAATAATTATGTTTGGCAAAGAAAGCAGTTTCGCAATTGTTTATAAAATTTTGTAACATTATTCTTCTTTAGTTCTTCATTGCATCTAAATGAGCGGGTAGTTATTGGTCTTTATTGATAAGTAATTCATCAACGTAATTGATTTAAATTCAAGTCTCTAAATTACGTTGATGAATTACTCAACTGTTATGCAACTGTTGTTAAGTGAACACAACAGTTGCAGAACGCAACCACAGTATGAACACTGAAAATACCTGAACAGAATCCAAAGTCCAAAGTATAAAAAAAATTCATATCAGATTACGAGATTTAGATTGAAATTTAATTAGAAGAAAGAATACCAATTTATGAATATCGCCCTATGAACCGACCTAGATTATATTAAAAAGAGATAAAGATACTATTTAAGATTCTCCTTGTCATTTCACGACTCTGGCGCCAATGCGCGTTCTAGTATTATTATATTTCAGTGGGTGGGGGGGATCTCAATCCCCCACGATCTAACAGAACTAGTTTAAACTACAAAATTATGTTGAGATGACAGAGAACAAGCTACTTTTAAAAATTTTCAGATTAATTCTGTTCTCTAATGTACTTGCAACTTATTTTGGTTTCACATTAATTGTGTGTACGAGTCGTCTGTCAAATTAATATCATAACATTGATTAATTTTTTTGATTAATCAGAAATATACACAGAATGTTAAGTGATTGTTTATGTCTACTGATTGTGTGCAATTAAAAACTTATTTTCTGAATGTTTGCTATACGTATAAGTATTAAACGCAATATTGAAGAACACAATCGTATCGTTTTTTGATACAGTTAGTGTCGATTTTGTATTGACACAAATAATGTTTTTTATAATAATGTATTTTATAAACAAATATGAATAAACAGAGAATATTTAGAAATATATTATTATCTTTTATCAATAAAGAATAGATAATTTCGTGTAAAACTTAAATAATTTTCTGTGACTCGTACAAAGATTTCAGTTTATATATTTATAAACAAATGGATATAGACTGAAAAGACATATTTAAACACAAAAATAGGTAATGTAAGCATTTCTTGATTTTCAGCATCTAATAATCTTTCTGAATTTATATAAGTTTATAAATATTTGCTTTTGCAACTTATAAATATTTGCAGTTTATAAATATTTACTTGCACTATCTGTTATTATTTTTAATAGTCTTAAAACATAACAATCCGAAATTAGAATTACATCTTTTTTAATACTAAAATATATGTTTATATATTTATATGAAATATTTATAGATAAGTATCAAATAATCTGAAGTGTGACGATATTTCATTATGGAGAATATTATGCGGTCTATGCAAGAGTGTAATGCTATTCGTTATGCATCTTATAGAACTGCTGCAAAAATGCAAATATTACATAAGGAATTATACAGTGAGTTTTCTTTATCTTCTTTATTTTTTATCAAACTTTCACTAGTTTTCTCAAATAATTTTATTTTTTTCTTAGTGATGCATGTACAATTGGAATTAATAGCTGGAGTATTTGAACGTCATAGGCTCTCTATCACTGAAAATTGTGTTAATTTAGATCCGAGTGAAATTGAAGATGTTTTGTCAGATATTTATTTCGCAGCAAAAAAAGAAAGTAATTTCAATTTTGATGTTAATTTGGTGACTAAACTTGCTTCAAGTTATATCTTGAACATTTTTGACAAGTAAGTTTTTATCTCTTCTTATTAATAATATCAATATATTTTATGATTTTGTTGCCAATTGAAAGTATCTTTCTTCAAACTTGTATATACATACTATTGATAATAATTATAAAGAATGAAGAAAATTCTAATCTGAAAATATGTTTAACATTGCAGACGAAGTACTGGAAATATTTTAGTATTCTCAGTAAAGGTTGCACTAGTATTATTGAGCAGTGGTAAATTACAAGAGAAATATGGATATTTATATCAACAATTAGCCGATCATAATGCATGTCTATCTCGGGCTAGCTTGCACACCTTATTAACAAATATCTGCAAAATAACAGAAATGCTAGGAGAAAGTATAGCATATGGATATGAGCAGATTCAATCACATATAGATGCCTGTTTTGTTAAGGTAAGAATTAATTTTATCTTCCATCTATTTAAAAAATAAGCTCTATTATCTGATCAATACATTTTACAGTCTCAAGGTGGTCTTGGAGTTACTGAAGCAGAATTTGCTACGTGGATCATGCAGGAACCTCCGTTACTACTCTGGATTACAACATTCAATCGAATAAAATCTGCAGAACACAGTAAGTAACAAACTTAAATTATCACATGTCTAGACACAAAAATGAATAATTCTTATTTGCAGTTGTGCATAACATCAGATGTTCCTCATGTAAAGTAACACCAGTACAGGGACCACGATATACATGTTTGAAATGTACGGGATATCATCAATGCCAAGAATGTTTTTTCTTGGGAAAAACATCAAATAAGCACAAACTGAAGCATCCAATTCGCGAATATTGTGTAAAGGTATAACATTTAAATTTCTGTTCTTTAATGAATGAAATACATCACTCAATGGCAATTCTTTCATAGACTTCACATCGTGAAATTACAAAATTGATCATTGAAGTGGTCAGAAATAAGTTAAGGTTATGCCCCACCAGAACAGTCACGATAGAAGACTCGATTACAGAACCTGCCAGGTTTGTTGCACATACAAACTGTACTTTTACAGTTTTATAAACTATTATGCAATATACTTTATAATAGAAAAATACTTTTCATGTAGCAACGAAATTAGACGAATGGATTACGGCTCATTAAGAAGCACAGTGAAACGAAAAATTCTGTCTGATCCACAAAAGGAATTACAAAGTATCATAACGCACTTGGAAGAGGAAAATCGACAATTGCAAATTGAGCTGTTAGATATACAAGGTACCAAAGCAGAGAGGCTACAACGTCATAGAGCAACCATCGAATCTCAATTGCAGAGACTGAAAATGCTTAAGGTATAATGCTTAATATTAAATTAAAAATTATTTAGATATAATTTTTATTGAGTATAATTTTTACAGAAATGTTTATTCACCGATTCGACTCAGGCGCCACAGATTATTAATCGCATGCAAAGCACACCAATGCTACGACCTTTATCATCCAGATTAACGGCTTTGCCTCTAGAATTTGAATTAAGCCCAATTATCAGGCAAGATAGCATAGGCGAGCAAGAAACCAAATTGCAACATAGAAAAAATACAAAATTAATATTAGATAGTTTCAATACATCATCACCTATAGAGCGTACAGACGAAGATAACGCCAATGCTCTTCCTTGCATCAAAGAGACTTTTACGGATACTGGATTCGCTAACATACCAGAAAATAGTCGAATAGAATTAAGTACTTGGATTGGAGGTGAGTACCAAGTATGTTTATTATTACGTTACATTACGTATGATTAGAAAGGATCAGTAAATTTAAATGAATACGCGTTAAATTATCAGGAACGAGAAGAAGGGAATTGAATCCAACTGACAGTGGTTTCTCTCAATGGTTGGCCGCTGGTAACTCGAACTGCAAAGAGAGTAATTATGCGGTCAATACGGCAATTAGTAGTACAGATAATGATACATCACTGATAGCTTCTCAATCTCCTACTGGCATTCACAGAGATAATACTCCATCTTCCCTGCAGCGTCCGGACAAACATTCACAGCACAGTAGTTTGCAAAATATTCAAGGAGATCTTAATGATATATTAGACAGACTGCAAAATATGGTTGCCAATGACTGTTTACTCGATGGTAAGTTATGCAACGTGACACGCAGGTGCGTATGTAAGCTGATTCATATACTTTTTATAGATTCATATGATGGTAATGACAATTGTAAACTGAAACGTGCCACCACAGAAATGGAAGATTTATTGACTGGTCTCATCGAAGGTATGGAATCTCGTAAAAGTAAACTTACCACTATCGTTTGAAAAAATGTTTGTAATAAATTCAAATATCGTGCATTTACAAATTTTTTATATTGCTTTGATTTTTTTATACAATTTCATTATATAATAATCTTTTAAGTACTTATCTTTTTAATCTTTTGATCAATCTGCTGTATAAAATGTCAATACCATTTTTTAACATTATCATCTAAAGAAATTAATGCATTATTGAAATCATTTTAAGTAATAATGAGTATGAATATTGCATTCGATATTAGGCATTGATAATCAAGCAAATATATTTAATACTAATTGCGAAACATGATTATGACCATTATATATTTTTACATATATATATTTATTGTATTATCTGTGCAATCATAAAACAATCTATCGCGAACATTTTTATTTTATATATGGATGTTTTATAGACATTTTTGTGTATATAATATGCATCGTGGCTATAAAATTAATTACGATTATTTTTTTAGTCGTAACTAATTTACTCCTGATAATTAGAAAATAATAACGGACCTCGTTATAATGCAGGAAAACAATGACTCCGTCCAATCTTGAATGTAACGAATAATTTTATTATCGCTATTCGCATACACATGCGCTCGTACAAGACATTATAAAATAAGTGCCTTATAATCTAAGTTGTAAGAGTCATTATGTCAATTTTTTTATTATGACCCGACTAGATAATTGATATTGTGACATATTATATGATCTATATAATAAAAAGTAGAAAAATTTGTACATGCATAATGCCAGCGTATGTATAGTACAAGTCTTTGAAATTTAATACTGAACAAATATTGGACATTACTACATGTCCTTTTCTAGATGCAACGTATCAGTTAGATAAGTGATTTTGAAAAACCTCGAAAAGTGGGTTTTCTCTGATGGCCGATTTACTGTCCATGCTATCACGCGGATGTCGCGTTCACGCCATCGTTCTATCACGCGTCTAAAACAAAAAAATATCGTGTTTGTGTGTGTATGTGTGTGTGTGTATATATGATATATATATATATATATATATATATATATATATATTCGTTCTTA